TTCTAAATAGAAAAGCAAGCCTTCTTTTATAAATCAGTGGTATGGGTTTGAAGTCTCTAATTGGAAGTAATCTAAGTAGACAGCTGACTGCACAAGCTAAATACTGTCAGAAAGAAAGACTATAAATCAGAGATTCCAAAAGTTACTATTTTTATACTTATTATACAAATAGCAATATCATTTGAATTATCTTTGGTATGCATTTTATAAATAGTTTATCTTAGAGAAAATAAGATGTAACATTGTTTGAAGCAGGGAGTATTACCATTGTCTTACCATGATCTTTTATTTAGAAAAAAGTGCTATCTGGTTAGAATTATGGAAATGTTCAGGCTAGAGCTGTATCATATGAAGAAGAACCTTAGGGGTCTAATAACCTTTTAATCTATGCTGAGAAAATGTTTTTACAATAATTCTCAGAGACATTTATTATCTCTGAGACCACTGACTTGGCTTCAGCTAATGGAGGCAGACAGCCTTCAATATAAGCACAAGTCCTTGGTATTCAACTGGCAACACAAAATAACTGTGTAACAGCTCTCTGGGCATTTAGGAGAAAGAATGGTTACAAGCCCAGTGACACCAAACATTTATCACATCTCAGCTAAGAGAAACAACATTTAGAAAGCATTGCTTTTAAGATATGGCCTCCATCCAATCCTCCAAATAATCTTAATAATCTGTTCTCATACCTGAAACAAGCCAGGTCAACAAAGAGTGAGCCTTTCTAACTCCTCTCTTATTGTCCCCTCCATGCTAAAATATACTTTTCTAAACCAATACTGTTCATAAATGATCCTATTTATGAGACCCCTGGAACTAGAAAATTCCTGTTTGATCATGATAATGGGTAGAAATGCATTTACTCCTGAAAAACATTGTTTTAATGTTAGGTACAACATAACTCTTTCTGGCTACATAGAAAGCATACACTCAGATTTGTGAATGATAGTGGACAAGTAAGTAGATTAAACAAATGTGCATTTTTCTTTAACTCTATTCCTTTTTAATACGTCATTTATGTCTGTAGTTTTCTTCTTTCGTTAAGACTTCTAGCCTATCCTCTTTCATCTTGCATATGTATACACACAGGTCACTTAATGTCTTTCATAGGTATAAGACAAAGAAATATTTTTTAAAAAATTTTATTTTTAATGTAATATAATCAAGTATTAAAAGAAAAAAATCAATATATTTGACAGAAATCTAAAACTTCTGTATGTTGAAAACACCAAAACACATTAAGAGATTGCAAAACATGAGAAATGGCAAAATAAGAGATCACTGTTCATAGTTTAATAGCAAAGAGTTCAAATCCACTAACAGCAAACAGATGAACAGTCTGCTCTCATGCAATTTACAGCCTCTGAAAACCTGCTGGAGGGTCCTCTGTGAGTTGGCTCCAACTAAACAGCATATAACACCAACAATTCTTAATAAGTGGTTTACATAATTAAGAACACAAAATTAAATGGGTACTTGAAATAATTATAGTAAAAAAAAATTTAAAATTTTTGGATATTGAAATAAGTGAATATAAAGAAAACCAAAAGCAATTAAAATTGCTTTCCTAACACAGACATCTAAAACTAGAATAAATCTTTCAGGTCATTCTGTTGAAATCTCTAACCTTACAGAAGGCAAGTACCGTGCTCAAGTATCAACCACCTTTCCATTTTCTAAAAGGAAAAAGTAGTTCTGGCCTTTTCTACCCTGACTAACTAATCTTTATGTTGTTGTGTGCCGTCGAGTCTGAACTGACCCACTGCTGACTTTCCAGTAGGCTTTCAGAGGCAGTTAATTGCCAGATGGAAATTACCCACCTTTCTCTTGCAGACCTGCAGGAAGATTCAAACCATGTGCCTTTGGGATTGCAGTGCAGCTTCTTACCACTAGGCCACAAGAGCTCCCTAATCTTTATGTAAGGAACTGTAAATACATAAACTAATTGGCAGGAGGCTGCTATTCCTTAGGCCACATTTGCTAGCAGGTGGAGTTCATATATTATAGGTCACTGCCTAAGCAATATGTAGATCCTCCTCTCTGGGACCTGATGGCGGTCAGGTACAAGGGGTACGTAGATATCTATGGAATACTGTCCTCAAGAGGTAAGTAAACAATTTCTGCTTTCCTTTGCAATCACTGCTCTTTCCTGTGCTTTCAAGGTAGAGATTTGTTGGTAAACCGAATGAGGCTCACTCAGAGACCCAACTGCCCATATTTCCAGGAGTGAAGGGGGTAGAAAGGCCCATTATGTCACATAAACAAGCATCATTCTCTAAGTTGGCTTTTTATGTTTGAAATTCTGCACTGGAAGGAGTTCTTGAGGACTTGCCCAGATCAATCAAGCTGATGTTCTGTTTCTCATTTGTCAGTCTGTTCTATGTAATCTCAGTTGGGAAGGAGAGGGTAAGGTCTCCCCCCTTATCTGCAAAATGTAGATGTACTGATTAGAATGTTGAGTATAAAGACAAAAGTTACCACAGGGGAGCAGAATACAATGAGGGACACACGAAACTCTGGGACTAAAACTACAGGAATAGATGAAGTAGATCTTAGACAATCAGGAACAAGTCTTCATAAATCAGACAGGACATCAACACAGGTTTCTGAGGCATCTACAGACAGAATTATTTTCACTGCTACATTTCTTTTTATTTAGATCATGCCTCAGCCTGGTTTGCAAGTAATGGATTTAAATTATTCAGAGGCTTGTGTGGTAAGGTCTGTCATTAAAGCAATGTTACTAAAACATGTGGATGGCAATATTAACAAGGCCCAGGAGTTTACTAGGAATCACAAGCCATCCCAGATCTACTGAACCAAAACCTGTGCATAGAGTCCAGGAACCGGCACTTTAATAAGCTCTCCAGGTGATTTTTATGCTTGCTCAAGTTTGGACTGAAAAGCCAATTGATTTTAAGAATATAATTAATTCCCTTTGAAAGAACAACTTGGTAATTATTGAGAAGCAGTATATGCACTGATCCTAGTGGAGTCAGATTGCCTGTGTTCAAAATACAGTTGCACCCCAATTAGCTGTATGATCTTGGACAAGTTGTTTACTCTGTGACTCAATGTGATGATATGTGAAATAGGCATAACGTTAATTAGTGCCTTCCTTAGAAAGTTTGATAGGATCTACATGTGTGCCCAGCACATATGAAATGGCCAATAAAGCATAGCTATTATTCTTCACACTGCTATACCTGTTGTTGCGCTCTTAAGGATTTTACTCATATCAGGTAATAAGCACTGAGCAAGCAATTGAGACCAGCTGCAAAAAGAACATACCTAGCCCTTTGGCTTTGTTTTTCAATTGAGGTAAAATTAACATAACATAAAATTAACCTTTTCTTACATTTTTATTTTCTTAATTTTCATTAATGTTTACAAAGATTTTTGGACTTCCATTCATTCACTGTTGCACTTTTCTCCCTGCCCACCCCTTTCCCCCAGTTCGCTCTTCTCTTTGAAAAGCAAAAGAAAAATTCCTTCATTGGTATATAATCCACCCCTCTACCCTTGCCCAGTACACTCCGCTATACTACCTTAATTCTGGCCTCTTGTAATAACTATAATACCCTATCATATATCACTTTTAAACTGTTCTCGCCCTCATCTGTTTTAATGCAGTATACATAATTTATCCAATTTTTCTCAATCTCACCCCAATCCTGATGTCAGTCCCGTTCTTCAACAGTGGCACTATGCAGTATTTGTCCTTTTGTGACTGAGATATTTCACTCAGCATAATGTCCTCCAGGGTCACCCATTTTGAATAATATTACATGAGTTCCTTTAAAATTAATCCTTTTTAAGGATAGAATTCAACAGTGCATTCAAATATTGTATAACCATGTTAACTTTTGCTTTTGCTTTTTAAATTTTGTGTCTTTGAGGCTAGAATTGAGAAATGGAAAAGTGAAACTTAGAATCAGAGTACTTCAACTTTTATGTACTAAAGGGAAAACACCTATTACAAAACCAAGTTTCCAAGATACAATAGCCAAAACCCATTCTTCATTTCAGTTTAACCCCTCTGACTGAGATCCAGGAGAATGAGACACTGGAGAGGAGAGAATCAAGACTTTACATTTTAAAATTCAAGAAGTAGACATATTTAGACTTTGTTTTCTTTGAGACTAATAATTTGTAGGGGATCCACAGTCAAACTGAGGGCATTATTATGTAATTGGAAATATATTTTGGGATTCATTTATGCTGTCAAGAGATACATTTAGGACACAGTGATCAAGCATAATCTGAGATGGAAAACAGAATTTAAAAGTGAGTTTTCAGCCTTAGGTGCAATAAGGACTAAAGGTTTCCAGGTACAAAGTTCACACTAGCCAGACATGATCTACAGAGAGTGCTGAACATGTTGAGAGAGGCCTCAGGACTCTTTTTTCAAAGTCTTACCACGTGGTTGCCTATAGGCTTGGCTGCTAAACCAAAGGGTTAAAGAAATACAAAAATACTAGTCTTCTCTGTCCTTTTCCACCAGGGGAAGATGTGGAGTTAATACAATCATCTCTATTTGGTGTCCTCAAAATTTCCCAAGGGAAAGGAAGAATTTCTAAGGAGAATTTCTCATATTTGATAGTCAATCATGAGACCAGTGCCTGACACAGTTTGCATTTCTGATCTCTGGGAAGTTGATTCTGGCAGTTAGATGCACTGCTAACCCGAAGGTGGCCATCTCTCTGGCGGTTCCCCTGATGCTATTTGCTGCCTTTGAAAACCCACTGGAGGGTCAGCTATGAGTCAGCCCTGACTCCACCGCAATAAGGGGTTTTTGATAACCACCCAAAGGACTTGACTATCTTGCATATGGAGTCAGAGGTAAGGGATTTTAGAGTGTTCTCAAGCTAACCATTAACAGAGAATACTGAATAAAGAAAGCAGTTCATTACTGATCTATATACTCCAGAAGCCAGAATCTTACATATTTAATCTGGTGTCCAGAGGTAGAAAAGCATAAAGACATCTGCACTTACCGGTTGGTAGAGTGGTCATCCTAATTTGCACTGAGTGCTGCGTGGGAGACGCCAGCAGGGTGATGTTGACCCTGTAATCAGTTGCAGGGTACAGATCTAAACACACCACTGGAGCTCGTTCCCTTGCAGTGAAGTTAAATGACAATAGATGATAAAAGTTATTCAGATACCACTTTCGACCCAGAACTTGAAACTGTCAGGAAACAAACACAACAAAACCACGTAAAAGCACTGTGTGAAATATCCTGGTGGCTTACAGATGTCTCGGCTACAAACGTAATGGGCCTAAGCCAAGTTTCTTCTGTTTGTCCTCACCCACTTGGAATTGTTTTTGACGCAAGAACTAAGGAAGGACTAGCTATTTATCCTACTCAACCTCATATATATCATTGTTGTTGTCAGGTGCATCAAGTCAACTCCAACTCCTCGCGAACCCTGTGAACTCTGCCATCCTCAGTCTCTGCCATGCTCAAGCCCATTGCGGCAGTCACTATGTCAGCTCATCTTTTCTAGGACTTTCCTCTTTCTTTGCCTCTCCAGCCTTTCCCTGCATGATGTCTCTCTCATAGGATTGGTTCTTCCTGAGAAAATGCCCAAAGTGAGATGAAGTTAAGAAATGAAGGTTAAAATACATAACTAGTCTCCCAAACAATCAAAAGTCTAGCTTTTAAGGAAATCCATTGGTGCATACTAGGATGAAGAAGAATGTATCGGAGTTATTGGACAAAAAGCACTCTTATCATTCATAAAGAAGACATAGACAAGCCTCACAGAAAAACAATTTCAAACTTTATGAGGGCAAACTCCAGATTATGCACTCAAAGCAGCTGAGTAATGAGGCTTCACGTGTTCCTGCTTATTAGAACTCTGGTAAAACCCATTCATACTTTGTTGTTGTTGTGCACCATAGAGTCAGAACCAACCCATAGCTGATCCTCTGGCAGGTTTTCAGAGGCACTTAATCGCATGGGAGGAGATTACCCGTCCTTCTCACACAGAGCAGTTGGTGGCCTCGTACGGTGTGCTTTCAGTATTGCAGCGCAGATTCTTGCCACTATGCCACCAGAGCTCCCTGTTCATACTCTACTTTGCCGATTCAAGCTGATGGTACACTAGGAATTTGTAAGGAGAAAAATGTGAAAGTCTCTAATATGAGTCTCTAATTTGTCAATAAACTTTGACAAAGCTGGTGAGGACTCCCACATTTTTTTATCATTTCCTCTGATGTCTGCATCATTGTGTTTATGTCACCTTCTATCACTCTTCAGCACTATTTATGAACTCTTCCCCATAAATATTCTACAGATCCAGTGTTACTATAATACAGTATTATTTTTTCAATTGGGTAATTTAAAGGTCTTAGTGGTAAGAAGCTGCACTGCTTCCCGAAGGCACAGTCTGAATCCACCAGCTGCTCCATGGGAGAAGAATTGGCAGTCTCTTCCCGTGCGATTCACTGTCTCTGAAAACCTACTGGAGGGTCAGCTATGGGTTGGTCCCGACTTTCTGGTGCTCATCATCGACAGCATAGATAAGACATTCAAAATTTGACCTTAGATTCTTTTTTAGCATAATTCTAGGAACTCCCTTCACTCTACTTCAACGACTCACATGCATTCTCCAGCCTTGGCCCACATCATCATTAGAATAACTCTATCAAGATCTCACGATCCTCTGTTCTAAACCATTCACTCTCACAATGCCGACGATTCACTCATATACTCTGTCAGTATTCTGACACTCCTCCATCTATCTAGGTTACCACTCCATCACTTCAACAATTTTCAAGTCCAAGACCCTCAGTGTTCTTTTTGCTCACTTGATTCTCAATCCAATCCATTGTAGAAAATTCTCAAACACCTGGTCAATCTAGCCGCTTGACTTCACTATGCCTGCATTCAGGCTGCTGCCATCTGCTGGAGAAAAACCGCACAACCTCCAGGCTGTATTCCTGCAAAGTCAGCCTCCAACCTATATTATTCCCTATAGTTTTAATCTATGTAAATACAGACAAAAAAATTACTTTTTGCTACAAACTTGATTCACACTGTATGTACCATTTGATAACATAATCTTTCAACTTATCAATATATTAAAATGTTTTTCTCTCTCAGGAAATCATTCCATAAATATGATCTATAGCTACTGGACAAGTTACCTAATGTTTTCCAGTCAGAGTACTTAGTGCTAGGGATATGACTGACAGTAAATATGATACAGGTTCTTAACCTCCAGGAACTCAGATAAACACGCACACAAAGAAAGTACTTGTGGGCAAGTCTCACAATATATGATGCTGTCGTAAAATTCAGGAAGGACACCTACTTCCTTCTATGAGAATTAAGAAAGCCTTCTTCATTTTAACTGAAGAGTGAAGGACAAATGTGCATAAATAAGGTGAGTTTGGAATGTGAAAGATCAAGGGAGGGAAAAAAATACCCCTTCAAACATTTCAGATTGTAAGACCAGCTGAAGGTTTCCTATCAGAGATGACTGAGCTGAGCATTGAAAGATGAGCAGGAGTTAGTTAGGTGAGATAAGAGGGAAAAGGACATGGTGGGAAGGTGTTGTTGTTGTTGTTATGTGCCGTCGAGT